TTTTAGCCGTCCTTTTCACTACTTTGCGATCAATAAACTGAATTGTTTCATAGAGTTGTGAATGTTTTGTCAATGGGAAATGGAACTGCAGAGGTGGAAAGTGTGAAGATCTTTTTCGAGCGGTTAATTTGACACTATGAATTATTGTTTATGCGCTTTTTGACTTTCATGCATTCGGCTGAATTGAAAGGATGCACGCGGCTCTTATCATATTGTGTCTTTAGAATAACGGGTCTACTTAGTAATTCTATACGGTAAAGGGTCGACATTTCAGCTGTGGAGTACGTGAATGCAAGAAGTAAGTGAATTCTCATCCGGAAATAGTCCCAGGCTATTTCTGGACGAGATTCATTTATTGTCGAACAAGTTTCGGTGGATAAAATAACCACAGCAGACTACTTTAGTCAATTCACATCTATTGAGTTATCTTGGCTTGATTCGGTTCAGTTCGCATTGTTGTCTGTCGTTTACAACGGTGGTTCTCAACATTTTTTCTCGCCCGCACCGCTTAAAAAATTTTAAAATGTCCTCGTGCCTCATAAAAGAATAGTTAAAATATCCTCGCAGTTAAAATATCTCTCATCCACTGCAGCAAGTGTTTGTAATGCAGATAAGCGAATGCCATCAGAGTACGATCTAGCCTTTTAAAAATATGTGCGTTAAAGTCCACCCTCGCTTTGTGTACACACATACATGTATGCGTTGAAATCCGTCCTTGCTTACTTTAATGTACAACAATGGAATCTTGTCCCACATCACCTGTAATATTATCTCGTTCCCCCAAGGGGTGCGAGCAACCCTGGCTGAGAAGTCGTGGTTTATATGGTTCTTCGATAACTACTATTAACAAATTATGACTCGTGTGTAGTACACGTTTACTGCAAACTTAGGCTAACATCCAGAATCAGATCGGTTACCGAAGCAAGTGGCTCCACATCGAGCAGATTGATCCCGCATAATCTACTGGCTGAATTTCGTTTTCGTTTGTATCAGTTGCAGGCAATTAAATGCATATTAGGAAGATTTCTTACAGTGGCAAATTGAAAAAAAAAATTAGCCTAATGGAGAGAAAGAACGTGAGAGTTTCTTCGCTTCGGAGCCAAACCCGGATGTGACGTTTCACAAAATGTGGAGCTGAAGNNNNGTGGGCATAACTGTTGCGTACACACCTTACGAACGCCATTATTGATTCAAAAAGCTAATGCCGATTATATCTACTGTTTATGGCGATGTTCATAATTCGACTGTTGTTATGATTACCAACAATCCCAAACAATGTTGATTTCAGCTGACTGACACATACGAATCAATTGAGTGCGATCGGGATGAACACATTTGAAGATTTCTCGAATTTTGTTGGAAGTTTGGTTGGTGCGGTACGAGGTGGATGTACAACAGAAGTGGTGAACACTCGCTACAAGTTAGTTACTGGATATTTATTTCATTATTTCTTTACAACAATTGATCATTCAGTGGTGATAAAATATGTTAGTTAATTTCAGTATTGTTTTTCATCTAATAGTAAGACGATGGTTGTTAATACTTTATGAATATTAAAGTAGAATGATCATTCGTGTTTCAACCGAAAAGAATCAGACTTTTCGTAGGTGCTCTTTATGATTCTGAAATTCTTTCAGTGCTCTTATCATAGAGAATAAATCACTTATAAAAATGGATTTTGCCATGAACGAAATCCATTTAGATGTTTCTCGGCAGCCCTTTATTTAATCTCCTTCTGTCAGTATAGCACCGTGCAACTTAAATTATCCTTTGATGATGTTAGGAATTTGGTTTGCTTACTTTCTGTTACAAAAAATGAAGGACATGTTGCTGTTAACAGCGTGATCGTAAACATTGTTGCTGTATAACTGCTACACAATTTCGATTTCAATATGTCTAAATGGTAGACAATTTTCTTTGTATGTCATGTTGAATGTGAATAATTGGTTACATAAATGAACTGCAGGGATATGTTCCAAGAAGACATAAACTATAATGGAATGGGCTACTCATCATTGAACAGTCTACTAGAGGCTTGTGCAAAAAAGGGAATGATTACACGTACTGGCAATTGTTGGTATCCGAAAAAGAATAAAGATAATGAAGCACTTCTCAAGCTCGTAGATGAAACCAGACCAACCGTCAAAAATGGCAACATTAAGACATCACCAAGACATCTGGGTGATCTATTATCATTACGTCTAGTCACTATTATTTCAGCATTGTACTTGTTCGTGTTATTCTTCGGACTTTAGTTGAGAAATACATTCTGCGAATGTTCTTGATCGTTTACCGGTTTAGTACGGTCAAGAAGAAGCAAGAAGAATAAAGATAATGAAGCACTTCTCAAGCTTGTAAATGAAACCAGACCAACCGTGTGGTAAAAATAAATTCAGGGAGATAAAGTACAAAGAATGAATCAGAAAGTGGTGTTTAGGGAAGGAATGCTTGTTTTAAGGTGACAGAGGCGCTGGTAGGCTAAGGGGAGCTAGATCGAAAAACGTGCCACTTCAACCGATACATGAGAGAAAGGAATCGAAGCGACATGTTTATGGTGCAGCTTTCAATTCACCACCAACCGATGGTGATCAAGTGGCATCTAGCAGTGATGGTCTAGAGTCGATATTAATATCAGGTGGCAGATCTCGTGAACTGCCACCTGATATTAATGGTGCCATGGCGAAGCTTACTTGCCACTTGCCATCTCGTGAAGTGCCACCACCTCCCGGTTATGAATCTCTGTACAGTGGTCGACTACCATTTGGTGGTTTTTTTCGACTACCATTTGGTAGTTTTTTCGCGGTTGTTTTCTCTTTACCTTCTGTTTTGTTTCGCGGTTTTTTTTNTTTTTTTTATTGATCATGATATGACGTGCTGGTGATTGCAGTTGAACAATCGTATTAGACTGTATTGAAAGGTAGTGCTTATAGAACATCTTATAGAAATTGTAGAAAACTTTTCTCTCAGATCGTTCTTTCGTTAAAACAATGCTTGTTATGAGGATGCAAGAAAATGAGAAGTTACATCATTTGTATTGATTTAAGTAATAATTGTCCCAAATATTTCCTTTCGTCCTTTTTGATTTGACGACCCATCCTACAACAACTTTAGATGAGTGTCTTCGAAAGTGGGCAAAGTTTTCAAAGAATCACCTATGTAATTTTTTATCGATAAATTTGCAATGAGCAAAACTGAAACAGATGGTGATGAATTGACAAATCGGATGAGTTTTGCGATCGTTTCATTTTCACTATTAAAACAAAAATGAAGAAAAAAGTCATCAATTTCACTTGTAAGTTTTTTTAGATAGCAGGTACGTCGGATGCTATTCCGTTGGATATTTCATTGAATTTGCTAGATCGATTAACACTCCCTATAGTATTCGTTTTTCAGCTAACAAACAAACATTGGCTTCTAATAATTCTGATGCCTTGCGAACGCCTGATGATAATTTTGCTAGGCACACGAAAGTAAGAATGTTACATTCTCATTTCCACTATTTTTGCACTGTCTTCTTCTTTTCGAATATCACTGATTTTCGGTAGAAATTAGTTCTGCTCTGATATGTCAAAGTTGGTGCATCGGTTAATTGATAAAGTCCTCAAGAATGTAACAAAACTCGTGAAAATGACCTCTCATTTGTTGTCAGTTTTTAGCAATGATTAAATCATTTCATTCGACAGAATAATTAGAAAATTTACAAAGTATAAATGTGAAGGAATAGTCGAGTGAGAAAACTGAAATTATCAAACGACGACCGAAGATGTAATAGCGAATATTGTAGAATATCTGCTATTTTCAGTTGTACATTATAATTTAATATGTGCAATAAAAATTTATATTGCAGTACCACAGAAAGCTCAGAGAAACGGTGCAAAGCTGTGGTGGTGAGGTTTCGTGGAAAAATTTGCAGAGGGCTTTCGAAAAACGAGTCGGTCATGCACTGAATGAATCTACTGTTAGCATTTCCTCTTCAGCTCCGTGATAATTTTGCATTTACTTTTTGGTGTTACGAGGAACGTTTCATACCGTTGACGATTAATTGTTCATATCGCTCTCATGATGAATCCGTCCAAAAAATCGTTGATGTAGTCTAAGGAATCAACTATTATTCTACCAATAGTTTTATTAATCGAACTTTTTAAGTACCTCATGCACATATTCCTCGTTGCATACAGTTCACAATTAATTGCAATTTATTTTGTTTATTTTTCAGTTTCATCAATTCTTTAATGCGAATTTGAATAATTTGCTAGAAGTAAAAAAGGTTCTTGATGGAACGTTGGATGTGCATATTGAAAATGGTGAAATGATATTTTCAATACCAAGTGATGATTTTGATAATTCTTTTGAAGGTAAGAATCTTTGCTGAAACACCAAAATTTATTTGTGCATCGAATTTTAGTTCCACTAAATGGCTAATTGCATTAATCGATAATTCATCAAAGGATTCATTAGATTCATTATCACCGTTGTATTAGTAGATAAATTGATGAATCGTTCATGTAACTGAAGATCTCTCAACGATACGAACTAGAAAATGGCGCATAAGTGCGAAGGATGAGTATTGTTCTTTGCACTCATCGACCTTCATCCTTAACTTTTAATAGAAAAAGAGCTTGGTGCGATGGGGCTGATCAGCCATCTAACTTAAAATTCATAAATGATTCATTGTGTGCTATCCGAATTTTTTATTATTTTTCAATATTTATTATCATTGAACAAAAATATTTAGTTATATGTCACACTTTTCATTCATTATTTATAGAGTCTGACCTCAGAGTTTACAGTGGATTAGATTCGAACGCTTTTCTTCAGGTAGTTCGTTCTCGTCATCCTTTGATTCTTCGAATGTTTTGGTAGTTGTTGGGAACGTTCGGAAATTACTTTGAAATGAGCTCAAAACTTGGGAGAAACTCTCTTTAAATGATCATTGGATTGACTGATTTTAACTGCTATGAGCAATAGTATAAATTGTGAGTACCTTACAAGATGTTATTACGATTTCACAATTGGTTCAGTTTTATCAGTTGAGCTTATTTCAACGTCCGGTATTACAGATGATGAGCGTTCTTTTTTTTNTTTTTTTTGATATATTATGAGTTTCGTCTTTCGTCCCAGTGCATTATACCAAACTTTCCGAGTTCTTATCATGGATGCATACGCATCATATGTTGACGCATTGATGATGTATGTAGTATTGATGTATTTTCTTTTGTTTAGACTTCTTCAGCTGTGGGCGAATGTGATCCTCCAGCGAAAAACGACATTAAAACTGTGGCGTCATCTGGTGATACGCCATCACGTCAACCCACTCAACAACACTGCTTTGGACCGACGAAAAAACCGCAAGAGGTCTGTTAAATCGATCAATTTGTTCATTTCATTTTCATTTGGTATTTATTCGTAAAATATTTGTGATTTTATTTAAATATTTGTTGTGAACAAATCTTTCGCCATCAAAGTTCAGTAAGCAGATTCCAAACACTTGAAATAGATTTCTGTATTCCGATTTCCATCTTATGTTTAACGATAATCCATCTCATTCAGTGGATATGTTCCGTAATAAGCCTTCGTGGATTGATATTCGATTCCAAGATTGAAAGTAGTTGCAGAAAGTTATTCGTGAAGAAGATCTGGTCGACAACGCAAATTCGTCTTCACCGAAATTGACCGATAAAGAAACGGAGCGACTTCTTTTAACAGCCAATTTGGTACCTTTTCACCGTCGTACTGATCGATTCGTCTCATTTGACAATTTGAATTTTAAATTCTTCTTGCTATATATATATATA